TGATCTGTGCATTTCAGTCTTTATTTGAATTGTGAAAGTATGCACAGGCATAAGTCACTGCATAGACATTGCTTAAGGAAAGTGGGTGAGACCTCTGCTAGTAGTATCTGAAGCTACAGGCTAAAGTTCTCAGAGTGTTTTTGCACATTTGTCTTCAGGGCCAGAAGATCAGGGTCTTGCCCAACTACTAATACAATTTCTGTTAAAAAAAAGAAAGTAGAGTTGGCCAGTTTTAGATTAATCTATTCTATATTTTGAAGAGTGAGTTTGTTTGAGGATTTGTTTGTGCAAAATAAAGCCATGCTTCATGATTAGCTACAGATACCAAATTTTGCATAAACAATTCTGCCACTTAAATTAGCTGAATGCACTAATTTTTTCACTGGAATATGCGGGATGAAAGGTTTAAATAATTATTTTTGTTTTTCATCGGGAAAATGTCATGATTATTGTGATTAGCATTCATAAAAATATTTGCTAACAAAATTAAAACTTGAGTCACCTATTCAACTGTCATTTTAGTGCAAAGAAAATGTTTACTGTTACAAATCACAGAAGAAGGTGGTTTTGGGGAGAGAACCTCACCATGATATACCAGGGAATGGTCTGAAGTTGGTTAGGCTTTGTTACCCATATGATCTCTTACTAATTAAAAGATCCATCTTTGCAGTTTTTCCTCTTCCCCCATTTTCCTTTGTGTATCCTCTTCCTCACATTTTAAATTTGATAAAACTGCTTCAGCATCATGCACTTTTGATTGTTTCTCCTTAGCCAAAACTCCACTCTGTGCTGGTGTCTGACATTTCTCAACAGTGAGCCTCTGCAGTACTGACTCTGGCACCAAATCACTCCCTACTCATTCGGCATATGCTATGAAATGACCTAATGTTACTGTGCTCAACTTTTATGCATATGCACATAGTATGAAACTCTCTTCAGTGCGGCTAACCTCCTGGTCACACTAGCAGAGGCCCCAAAGATGCACCCTGTCTCAAGGTACACGGCTGTCTTGTACTCCCATTAGTCACCATTTTTAAACCTTCCATGAGGGATTCTTTAACTTTGGTCCAAACACTGAGTTTTGCACTCATCTGGCTTTGGATGTCCCATGTTTTGGAATTGTAGACTCCATACTGAACTGCATGTCTATGACATGTTTCTTCTTATTAAAGGTACATGACATTTACAAATTTATGACTGGTTGAGAGAAATATATGAGAAATCAGTAAGTTACAACATTTCATCCTAATTCAATTGTTTTGATGAAGTGGCTGGTATCTAGAGTTCAGTGAAATTGTTCATTGCTATGTCACAGATCCTACATTGAATAGTTTATTCTGTAGCTGAGTTCAGATCATTACTGTTTCTCTACAAATGTTCTCTCAATGTTGTTTTTATTATTTCTTCTGAGGCATAAGGTTTAATATATGAAAGAGCATTCCATTGTCAGCAGAATGTTCTTTTATAATGAATTTAGGAACATAGGAATTGCCATACCTCTACAGAGCAGTGCTCCATGTAGTCCAATGTCCTGCAGCGAGGTGTGTGCTTTCCCTCTGGTAGACTGGCTATGCTGCTATTTTTAGTTCACCTGAGGCAGCATAGGTAACAGTTTGGGCTATATACAGTCTGATATATAGCCAGGAGTTCTGGGTGGGTTTATACTCTGAGCTGCTCCCCATGCTCCCCTGGGCTGCATTGCTATAGTCTATATGAGCTGGGAACCACCCTCCCTGTTATAGTCTACAGGAAATGCTTTAAACTCGGCTAGTACTAATTGCTTCAGAGGAAGATGCAAGAAACCTTTTACTGGGAAACTAGAAGACTTACCTAGAATTGCCTGGGTCAGGGCTGAGGGGGAACACAGGCCTCCTGCCAGCATTCCCTGGGCCCGGCCAGGGGGGAGATGACGTGTGGGAGGGAGGAGGCACATAAGCCAGTTGGCTTAGCAGTGCTTGGGGTGGGGTGAGCTGTGGCTCCTGTGATGGGGGGGGGGACAGCGCTGCCCAGCCCCAGT